AGAGAGAGAGAGAGAGAGAGAGAGAGAGAGAGAGAGAGAGAGAGAGAGAAACAGACAGAGCAGACGCCATAAGACGCCATCAGTGAGTGTTGCAGTGCACCATGGCGTAGCCGTGGCGGGTTCCACTTGTTCCACTAAAGTGCGATATCTTTCCTTCCCTCCCTAAGTATGATGCCTACCTGTCCCAGGCTCCCCTTTGAGGGCCGTAACCCAGCTGATTCTCCCAACGAGTATTCCCAATGGACACCATCCTGGATGAAGTGCCATCTCGCAGGTATCGGATGGTACCTGCGGGATTGAGAATGCGGGATTGAGAATGTCCAGCACCCTACGCCATACTAACACCCTGTGTGTGTGTAGCATTTTACCCTTATTCGGATCCTACCGTAGTCAGGTTGCTATGTGTGCACTCTCCTGTGGGTACCATAGTGACGGCAGACATAGCGTGTGTACCCAGGCTCTACCATGGCACCTCACAGACTAGTACAGACTAGCGAGACTGACAATTCGGAGGGTCCCAAATTGCACACAGCGGGCACCTATTTGCTCTAAAGTCCCTGTTGGTATATAGAGGGCCCAGGGCCCTGCCAGCGACCCTATCGTTACGAAATCCTGGCAGTCCCAATGGTTAATCTCCCCTTCTCTCTCCCCCAGCTAATCCCTCCCCCAGCACCCTCTACCTCCCCCCCATGGGCAGTACACGAGCGTGACCCCACTCATCAGACCCGACCAATAGACAAAGTACTCAAGCACCCCTCCTGAGGCCCACTACAAGGATACTGCAACCATGGCATGATTCCTTTACAGTTTCACAGTGAAAAGTCATTTTGTGGTCACTTTTTGGTCTGTCATTCATTGGGCTTACTATAGTGGGATTGTGTATCTGCTGAGATTCCCGCTGTTTGCTGAGATTTCTAAGTCTGTGTGTGAGATTGTTTGCTGGTTTCCGTGTGTTGTCGGTATGCCTGAGTGCTTGAGGGTGTGTGTCACCCGCCAGGGTGCTTGTGTGCTTGTGAGGCCCTCGGGCCTGGTACTTACCTGTGGCCATGACTTTGAGGGTTGCAGCGGGGAAAAACATTGAAGTAGCGGGCAAGTAGGCCCGTGAAGCTTAGGGCCGCACTTGAGTAGCAGTAGGCCGACAGAAGAAGACAGAAATTTGGTACTTTTTAGAGGGTGAAGCAAGGTAGAAACCGGTACTAGGCCTAGGTCTAGGGAGGTACCAATCCAAGTAGCCCGAGTCTACGGACTGTGCGGATGATATCAGACCTGCAATGATGTTTCCCTCCGAAAGGGAGGAGGTACTGGTTGCTTGGAGGCGGCGGAGCCTGAAAGTCACTGCCCAAGAGGCAGGTTGGCCACTATATCTGCAGGAAGTCATGCTGCTTGAGGGGGCACTGGTTCTCAGAGTGCTGCTGGGGCGGAAGAAGGAGATCTGGCGCTCTGCCTGGCTATGGCGAGCAGCCCAGCTTGAGGAGGAGGAAGAAGGGGGCATAGGAGGAGAGCGGTGAGGTACTTACCGGTGATGGTGGATGTCATCTTCATCTCCTTGGTAGACGTTGCATCTGGAAGGCCCCAGCAGGGGTTGCGCTGCATCCAGAAAGCTTCATGGCAGAGTCGGGCATGGCGGCCTGAGTGTAGCGGACATAGCTGCTTTTGCATTGTCTTTTGAACATCGGGGCAAGGCCCCTGGTAGTCTGCCATAGCCATCACCTACCGTATGAGGTTGGAGGTGAAGGTCATGGCTATGGTGGACCTTCGTTGTGCTGGCAGTAAGAGGGAACTTCGGATATTGGTCTCGCTCAGCCATTCATCGTTATTGTTAGGGGTATTATGGATTGAAGAATAAGATCGGAGGAGATAAGGAGGAGGAGATCGGTTGGCGCGAGAAAGGGGATTTGTCATTGGTCTTTTGCTGGTGTACATCTTCTTCTTCTTCTTTCTTTCTCATTTCTTCTTCTTCCTTTGTTCCCTTCTCTTGTCAAGTTCTTTCATTCTTTCTGCAATTGTACGACATTGTCTTTCCTTGTGAATATGCATTTTGGAATTAGCCAGGATCATAACATTGGCCCAAAAAAAAAAAAGAGCACACTGGGTGGACATGCTGCATCAATTTAAAGCCCAGTCCATTATGCTAGTCTGATGTTAGCAAGCGAAGCTGCACAGATTCTCGCCTCATTAGCAGCGGAGATCTGGGAGGTGCAGCAGTACGACCAGAGATCTGGAAGGCACAGCAGACGAGTATTGATTAGAACTCAGTGTGAAGGTGGTCATCATCTGAGAAGGATGGGGTCGAACAGTGAATGGCATTGGCGTTGGTGCGGAGGATGGATGCACATTGCGGATATCATTTCTTGGAGACAAAACCCCATATAGTGCTATGGATGACGAACTAAAAATGTGTGCATCTGCCAGTCACACCCGTGGCATTTTATAAGCAGTGACATACTCAGTCTGCTGTGAAAACTTGAAACAATATGCGACTTACATGCCCCAGTCCAACCCCACTGCCTGCATTCACACATTTCATGAGTAGAGACTCTAGAGAGCGATCGCACGGCTTGAATTGAGTTCACCTGCCTGGCTAACCACCAGTACTTGACCCAGCTATGGGCCGCGGAAAAAAATAGAGTAGAAATGTTTCTAGTCGGATGAATTTGGGCCCTTCCGTAGTGGCCTGTACGTTTCCTAAAGTCGCGGCTTGTTTAGGGGCACGACTTTAGGAAATACTGGTGGTTTAATGAACAGCACCCAAAGGACCAGGCGCAAATACCCTCTTTCACTCTTTCCATTTGATTGTATTTTGTCGTTGCTCTCTTTCTTTGTTTTCAGAAAAGAGGCCTCCCTCCTTCTCCCTTGTTTCACTTGTGGATTTGTAAGCTCTCCATGAATGCCAAGGCAGGGACCATTTTTCTTCCACCAACCTCCCCTCCCTCCCGGAGAGACTTTCCCCATTGCAAGCTCTTCCCAAACGTTTTTGCAAGGTTATCCACGGTCCCTCCAGGGATCCCAACACCTTTTCTGGGGGTTTGTCATATACAGTGATGGTTTAAACTTACCTATGACTCCATTCATAGGCGTGCGTATTTCATGGGACATCGTGGCCAGAAACGTAGCCTTGAGTTTGCTTGCACTCTCAGCACTGTTCCTAGCTTTATCAGCCTCTTCTTTCATCAGTCGAATTGTCTCGTAAGTGTTCTCCACCACTGATACTTTCACTCTCACTGCGAAGGCCATAAACATTAGCAGGACACCCATGGTGAGAACAGCGGACGCCCATTTCACTGCCATCCAGGGAAAGGGGCTCTCCTCTGTTTGCTCACATATGAAGTCAAATTCCCGATTATGATGCTTCAGTTCACTGACCGTTCGATAGAAATGTGGCCGTGCAGGATTAACTGCCTCTGATTCATCCGAGTACCATTCTGTTTTCTCCCAAAGGAAATTTGAGAGCAACGGGACTCTGTTAGGCGACCGTGTGACGTCGATGGTGCTAATCCGCATATCCCGCACAGATTGGGTGTATGTCGATAGAGCTTCTGTGACAAGAGGTATCATATCATAGTAGGCGATCATATACCCCTCAGGCACCCCATGGAAACTCCCGGGTGCCACGGCATCCTTATAGACTGGAATAATGCTGCCTAACGTGTTTCTCACCCAACGTCCAGTGTTGATATGGGTCACAAAGAACGTGACTGCTGCATTCTGGAAGGACTTCACAAACGCCTCTGTCACATCTGCACTGTGTCAAACACATTAGTGCGTAAAGGTCAAGTTAGTCAAACACTTGTTCCAGTCAACTGGAGAGAATCAAGAAATGAACATACAGAGAGTGGTTGCCGCAGAGGGAGGAGAGGAGAGAGGGGTAAGGATGGGCAAAGAGTTAGAATGGCATGAGGAGCTTGAGGAAGCTCCGAAATTGGCATAACCAACATTGCCATTTTCTAAGGTGACCAAGCTGAAACCACATAAGATGCAATGAGGTTCAATTGTTCTGATGATTTTCATGTTCGTGGTGTGGCCACTCTGACTTGAGTCCGTGCAAATTTTGCTTGGATGAGATGTATTGACACAATGAGAATCCAAGTAGGTAAAGGCGTTGCAAGGTGCAAGGTGCAAGGTGCAAGGTCCCATTTGCCTGGAGTTTCTGTTTCGTACCATAGACTACAGGAATCATTCACAAACATTTGGAGTCTTGGGCAAAGGCATATGCAATGAATGACGTCACTGAGCTTTTAATTGTGTCCATCAAGCAAAACAATTGCCTGCCTGTAGACTCACCCTGTTTCATGGCTCTCCTGCTTCCCACTGCTGCCCTAGGAATACGCGTCTAGCCTTGGGAAAAGGCATACACAGTGAATGGCATCACCAAGCATTTAATTCTGTCCTGAAAATCACATCAAGAAACAAAAGCCTGCCTGAGGCCTGGTAGAGAGATTCGGGGATTCATCGAGGGAGGCAGGCAATCCAGTGGCGAACTGGGGGGGGCTGCCATGACAACCGAAGGAGTCGAGTATAGTCTTGGTACCGAGAACACGATAGCTATGGCGGGTATTAGTTAGGATGATATTGTCTCCAGAGTGTTGTGCCTGGTATAGGGGAGGCTAGGAGTTGCTCATGGATTGTGAGGCCACGTTTTGCTGATGTAGTTTATAGCCTTCTATAGACTACATCATCAACATTATCACCATGTCATCTTCAGCTCATTATCATCAGTATCTTCATCGTCATCATTCAGCAGCACCAGAGGTAAAAGTTCATGAGGGACTCTGTTACATGCTGCACCTGCACACGGGCCCACTTCAAGGGGCCCGACGGTTGCTGAGGGCCCCCCAGGCCGCATGCCATCAGACATGCGCCCTGGAGGCCAACGGCGGCCCCCAGGCCGCAGACTTAGAGGCAGCAGTATTTATTTATTTATTTACTTACCTGTTGCCTTGTCCCTTGTCTGAGCAGACGTCATTTCGGACTTGCAGACCCCAAGGCACAGCCTTGGGCCAGGTACAGAGGCCCGAGGCCCTTCCGAAAACCAGACGCGTTTTGGCACCTGACTCAACAGTACCAATACCGTTTCGGACCACAAGCTTTAAGGCAGCACCTTGGGCCGGGTACACTTAAACGAGGCCCGACCAAGGCCAGGCGCATTTTCGCGCCTTGCTGCATCAGCAGCACGGTCCGGATGTCCGGTAGGGACCCAGACCGGCTGGCCCGTTTGAAGCCAGCACCAGGCAGACCCAGCCTCGCCCAGCGCTACTTATAGTTGAGCTGAGGCTGGGCTGGGACAGTTGGGGGTAGCTCACTTCTTGAGCAAAGCATTGCAGGAAGGAAGCTGCGCTATTTTGAGCGCAGCGCTGCAAGACTGGACGAAGCAGCATAGGCGAGAGTGAGGGGTAGAGGCCATACCTGCGGTGGTGAGCTTACCTGGCACCATAGCTGGGATCTCCCCGCCGTACCTGCACAGAACAACCACGGTGGTTAGTACAGCGACAGTACCTGCAGGTGACACAGCGAGGAGGGTGACATCTTCTTCTCCCTTCTCACCCTCCATCTCTCCTCCTCCTTTCCTCCTTCCTCCATCATCTTCTCTCCTTATCCAACTTCTTCTTCTTCTTCTTCTTCTTCTTCTTCTTCTTCTTCTTCTTCTTCAGGTACGAGAGTGAGAGTGGTTACAGGTGGAGGATATAGGCAGAGGTTACCATGGGCATGGCACCCAGGATCTGATTCGACATTTCTGAGACAGACATCGATTGGACATCGGCAAGAGACTATTTTTGGACTTCGCTATTGCGACTTACCTCCATCTTCGTCTCTCGCTCCCTTCCATCTCTCGTCTGTGGTACCTCCCCATGTGTGTGTACAAGGAGGGACCTTTCTTCTTGTGTGCGGTCCCTCCTCTCCTCTCACATGTGTGATGTATGATGGGATGTCGTGTCAGTCCCGGTCAGGTCAGGACTTATCTTAAAGTCTTCCGTTGCGCTACTGTGATATGATCCTGGCCAATTTCGAGATACACATTCATCAGATAGTACAATGCCGTCCAATTGCATAAAGAAATGAATGAACTTGAGAGGAGAGAGAAGGTTAGAAGAAGAAGAAGAAGTAAGAAAGAAGAAGAAGATGATGTACACCAGCATAGACAAATGATAAAGCTCTTCTTCTTCGCGCAACTCTCTCTTCCTCCTTATCTCCTCCTCTCTTATTCACACAAGAAATAATAATATAATGTTGAATAGCTGAACCAGAATCAAAGTCCGAATCCCTCTTCTACTGCAGGTATCACTTGAGGTCCACCATAGCCATGGCCACCTTTCCCACTCTTCACTCTCATAGGCCGAGGCTATGTCGGACTACTAGGCTTCGCCCAGATGTCCGAAGGACAACCCAAAGCAGCTATGGCTGCCCTAGCTCAGGCCGCCATGCCTGACTCTGCCTCGAAGCTTCTCAGTGTAGCTCAACCCCAGCTGGGGCCTTCCTGCTGCAGCGCCCACCAAGGTGATGAAGATGGCTGCAACCATAGCCAGGTAAGTACCTCTGGCGCTCCTCCCCCTTCCTGTCCTTCTTCCTCCTCCGAGTCCTTGCTTCTTCCCCAACAGCGCTGCTCCAGCCAGCGCTCCAACCAGTGTGTCGCCAATCTTCGCCTGGCCTGGAGATATAGCGGCCTGATTGCCTCTTGGGCGGTGACTTCCAGGCCGCTCGGCCTTCCCAGCAACCGGCACCTCCTCCCTTTCGGAGGGAAACATCATTGCAGACTCTGATATTGCCCGTATAGGCCCTAGACTCAGACTGGTTGGACTGGTACCCGCCTAGACCTAGCCTACAACTACTGGGCCTCTCAAAATGCCACTGTTGTCTTCTTCTGCTCGGCCTCCAGTACCCGCACATCTACCTCTTCAGAGTGCGGTACTGGCCTGCCCACTACTTGAGTGTTTTCCCCCGCTGCAATCCCTCAATGTCACGACCACAGGTAAGTACCGGCCCTGAGGATCCAATGAATGAACAAGTGCCCGTACGGGCCACACACACACTCAAGCCAACCAGCACTCAGACAGACATGCAGTCCAGCAAGTGCGCACACACACAGACTTAGTAGCAAGCGGGAAACTCAGCAAGGCATTCAGTCCATGAGCAAAACTCAGAAATCAGCCGTGTGTTTCAGTCCATGTTTGGTCGGGTCATCACACTACTCCCCCTTCAAGAGCGAGGTCTCGAGCGAGTAACTCATTATGAGTCCCCGACAAACGCATCGTAGGCAAACAAGGCAAAGAGATTTCGAGAATACTCTGTCGCAGTGAGCTTGGCAGAGATTTTAGGTGTGTAATGACCCGCCAGACTGAGAACACTGCTGATTTCTGGGATTTGCCGCTGGAATGAATGCCTTGTTGAAATTCCCGCATTCTGCTGTGATTTCCATGTCTGTGTGTGTGTGCGTGCCTGCTGGTTTGCATGCCTGTCTGAGTGCTTGACGGTTGAGTGTGTGTGTCACCCGCAAGGGTACTTGTTGGTTGCAAGGCCCCGCAGGGCCGGTACTTACCTGTGGCCGTGACTGTGAAGGGTTGCAGGGGGAAAACACTCGAGTAGTGGGGGTAGGCCCGCGGCACTTAGAGCAGAGGGGAAAAACACTCAAGTAGCAGGTAGGCCGGTACCACTATGAGTGGTATGGAGGTGGCTTTCCTCTTCACCTTGAAGATTGAATTAAGAAAGAGGGGCTTCACTGATGAGTACTTTGACAATGCACTAATTAGCTTCTTGAACAAATTCAGGGGGCTCTGGAACGATTGGGTCTGTTGTTTGACTGGGTGGGAAGATCGGTTCAATTCGGTCCGGTCTCGGGTGGGCAGGACAATTCGTGATCAGGCAAGGGGCACTCTTYGGCTAGCATAGTTCAGAGGTTTGTCTGGTTTCGAACAGTTAGGTTAGGGGCACTCCTTGGCTAGATTAGGGGCATTCTTTGGTTCGACCAGCTTAGGGCAGGCGTGTACTATTGAGGTTTGTGTAATGCTGTAGCCTGCGGTACTTGTTGCTTCGTATTTTTTCTTCTGTCTTTTTGTTTGGGTTTTTTACTTTTTGTTTCTAAAAAACTTTTTCCCGATCGAACAGTGGTCTTTTTAGGGACTGGACTGCCAGCACGTGGTCGTGTTGGGATTGGTTCGCTGGCTTGCTTCCTTCTTGGTTCTGTCGGAGGATGGTTCTTTTCTCTGGTCTTCTTTTGGGACACATTCTGGAACCTTCTCGGCCTACTGTTCTTTTCTTTTCTTTTCTGAGAGGCCAAATATGGGCTGCATATCGACGGACGTATCAGGATGATACGTTGTCATAACTTTCTGTGACAGAAGTGTGAACTTGGCTTCGGTTTAGTATACATTCTATAGGCCTCTTTTGTCTTCTTCTGATACGTTGCTCGGCGTATCACTTCACGTCTGGTGGACTTTCTTCGCTTCTCTTGGTACTTGAACGGTCTCTCCTATCTATCCAGTCCCTTTTCCCTGCAGCTTATTTGAGACCCCTGACGAGTTCCGGTTGGCGGCCGGACGAAACGCAGCGTCGGGTCGCTGCGCCAGTTCCTACTTGTTTATCTTTCGATGTTTTTGGCGGTGTTTCACAATTAAATTCATGCACGGCCACAGGTTGCGTTTCGGGATTTGGACTTTGCCTTCTTCCTCCTTCCTTTCTCCTCTCTTCTCTTTCCTCTTTACTCTTTCTCTTATTCTTCACTTGTATGACTTGGTGTACGTTTGCTGTCTGACCGTGCTGTTTGGCATTTGTCCAACTCAGCTATTCGCGTTGTAACCTTCGTAACAATTGCATTACGATAGTGTGGCCTCGCTTTGAGCCTTCAACATTCGATAGTCGTGCGGTGATCTCTGTATGTTCTCTTCTTTTTCTTTCTTCTTCCTTCTCTGCTGTCTTTCTCTTTCTCTTTCTTTTCTCCTCTTTTCTTCCTTCTCTCTCTCCTGATCATGGCCGCGCCATCTCGGGATGGCTGTTTCAATTGTGGGGAAATTGGGCACTGGTCCATATCCACGCAGGAGGCCACCCGTGGCGACGGGGGCTAATGCTGAACCTATCCTGGCTCTTCCGGCTGCTGGTACGCAACAACCTGCTGCGGTTCCCTCGACGTCCTCCAGTACGTACCCTGCACAGCCGCGGTCCGGATGGTGGACCCGGAACCAGCAGATGCCTTCTACCAACTTGGTGGATCAATTGCAAGAAGAGAACAACGAACTCAAGAAATTCGGGGAAGACTTGAAGGCTCGGCTGGAAGGTGACTTGGCGGCACTCAAGTGGGAGATACGCAATTTGAAGGAAGACCATGAGTCGTCTGACAGAAGCACACTTACCAAGCAGATTGAAGATCTGCGCGCAGAGATGGATGTGTTAAGAAGGAAGAATGAAGAATCGGAGGAGGTGGCGCACCTTTGGAGAAACGAAGCACTTCGCCCCGGCAACAAACGGGGCAGCATAAACGTTGCTACTCCTGCGAGTGAGGGACGTACGGTTACAGGTTCCAGATTGGCAACTACTCCGGAGGAAACGAGAAGACTGAGGGCGGAACTTCAGGAGATGCAGGAACGCCGTCGCTGCGATCAAATCGAGGTCGACATGTTGAGGGATCGTCGGGCTCAGGCGGAGGCAAAACGCATTGAGGCGGAGAAGGAAATTTTGAAGCTGAGGGATCAGATGGGGAAACTGTCCACGGATCCGACTGAGGCTGCTACCCCACGTGGCGTGGGTACCAACCTGAAGGATAAGATGGACGAAGCGGTCAATTCGGGTCTTCGCTCGGGTAGGCGGGGGCGCTTTAAGATGACACCGGGAAGGTTTCCAAGGGATGGCAGCGCGAAAAAAGCGAACGATCGGTTTGCTTTTCTCATTGAAGAGAGGAAAAGACTAAAGGCTTTGAAGAAAAGTGGCTTGGAGTTGTTGTGCAAAGAGATCGGCATCAAGTACAAGACCATCGATTCTACCGTTGACGAGCTGGCCGAAATTAATGCCGACAAAGCATTTGGAGGATGTAGTACCACACGCGAGAAGGACGACGAAGGACCAGAACAAGGTAAGTCCGCCGATGCCGGCTGTAGTGTGGAGGAGGTCGTGGGAGTCCCTTCTGATTCTGCTTGATGGGACTCCCGAAACGTGGCTATATGGGATTTGGCTAATGCTTGTCGGAGAAATCGGTCTCTCTCTACCTCGTCCCTTCGGGATTGTCGCTGGAACTCTCTCTTCCAAACGGTTGTGGTGCTACTTATTCTACGGGGGTTGGTCCAGTGGGGATCGAAGCTCAGATCCTACTTGGTGTCGATGATCGAGGAGGGGGTTGATCTTTTTCGTTATGATGGTCCGCTTGTGTACATCTTGTTGTCTCCGTGGCATAAACATGTGTACGTGGGTTCCACTGGTCGTAGTGTAGACGTGCGGTGGGGGGAGCATGTGTATCGTACGTGTAATGACTCGGTAATCCAGAGAGGGGATCGTAATCATAAGTTGTACAACTGGATGAGGCGATGTGGGCCTGAAAATTATGTGGCGATGCCTCTGTTTCGATGTGATAGGAATGATCTATTGGATTTGGAGAAGCTTGTTATCCGTAGGACCAGTCCGTAACTTAACAGCAGGGACAAACCCAAGTGTCGAAGGAAGGCTCGGCCGGGAAAAAAGGAGCGGAGGAAACGGCGGGCTAGGAACGGCGGCTGTCGGGCTGGGCAGATAGTACAGGCATGTAAGGATCACAGTCATATGAGTTTTGTTACTTCCAACGACGTTCAAACCGCTCGGTTACTCGACCTTTTGGAGGGGGTTCGATCTAAGGGCACGAGGGAACTCACGCTTCGGTGTGTGGGGGGTGATGTTCTTCTTGATAATTGGAAAGTCATTCGTAGATGCTTTGGTGGCTCCACGATTGAAACAATCTTTGGTACAGGGCTGCTTGGGAAGTGTCGTATAGTGGTGCACTTTCGTTCGGTCACATACTCGTTTTCGACGCTGCTTTGTCTCAAGCCAACTTTGCTCGGTTTCTTGAATGAGCCTGCCACGCGCAGGAACCTGGGCGGCTGGAATTTGGATAAGCTTGTTGGACTTTTCGCGGCTATCAGATGCTTCAAGGAAAAACGTACTCGTTTTACCCTTCGGTGTGTAGTTTCCGGTGCAATTCGTAAGCAGTTCGGGATTAACGTACGTACCAGGCTGGTTATCAGGGTTCGGTATGACTGCTGTCTGAATAAGGGAGGAATCAGGCATCTTTGTTGTGACCTACTGCGCAAATTTGATATTCCCTCTTGTATTTGTGAAATGCTGGCTAGAAGGATGAGGGTGGTGTGGACTAGGAATCCTAGCATTGGGGATATCTTGTTTAATTTCCGGGATGTTTCGCGTCAGATTGAGCATTTTTGTGATTGCACTACGGACGGGCGGGATTTTCCACGGACAGACGGTCATTTCTGTTTTCGTCTTTCACAGGTTGACTTTGTACCACAATTCTTAAAGAATTCTCGGAACATACCTTGTCCTCCTCGCAGCACTTCGCGTCGACGGCTGGTTCGGCAAATTTCTGCCTCCTTCGAACAAGTCTCTTTTCTGCCAAAAGTTAGTACTGAGATGTTTGGGAAAGCCCTTGTGGATTCCTGCTTTAACAGAAACCATGTCGCAGATGGGTTTGCTTTGAGTGGTCCTGAGTCGGTTTCGTACTGGAAGGACAGGTTTGCTAACCTGGTATGTGTTCCCATCGACCATAATGCCGGTGACACATTGGTGTGTTGCCCAGTCATCTATCGGCATGGTATGGATAAACTCTTTCTGGATAATCAGGGCTTCACAGAGTGCAATAGTGAGGAGGAGGTTCGGGATTTGTCCGCTGCGCGATTCCGTGACGAGGGACTAACGGTATTGGGAAAGTGGGATAAGGGTGGAAATCTGGGGCAGTCGTATGTTGTACCTAAGCACAAGGGTATTGCCAAATGGAGACCCATCTGCCCCACTTATTCCGAGTGTGGGGTCAGAGCCAGCAAAACGGCGGCACAGGCTATCAACCGTATGCTTTGGGATCTTCCTCCTGCCACCAATTTCAATTTGAGAAGCATGCCGGACCTTGCCTCGGCTGTGGGTTGTGTGAACAAGGATTTGAAGAAAGGGGAGCAGTTGCTGAGTGCTGCATTCGATGTTAAGGAAATGTTCTGCAATCTGCCACATGAGGCCATCATCCATGCAGTACAATGGGTAGTGGATTTTTGGTCAATGAGGGGTTGTTCTGGGATTCTCGTCAAAAAACGGGGCAAAGGAGCCAAGTTGAGGAAGAGCGGCAAACAGGAAGGTTGGAGTACGATTAGTTTTGATATGCTTATCAAATTTGTTTCTTTGACCTGGACTGCACTTTTGTTCGAGCTTGTGGCCGTGTACTTCAGCAGAAAGTGGGCATCCCCATGGGCAAGTCATCCAGCCCTGCGCTGGCATGTCTGTTGTGTGCATATAACGAGTTCCGTTTTCTTTCGTCTCTTGGGTGTGATAAGAAATTGGTTCATGGGATTCGCATGGTCGATGATGTTTCCTTGTTGGTACGGTACGTGGATAGCGATCCCGAGTCTGTGGGGGTGGCTCATTCGATTCTGACAAAATTTCGGAGTTGTTATGATCACCATTTGGTGTAAGAGCAAACAAGTGGTGGGGATTGCTGGGACTTTCTTGGTTGTGTATTGAAGGTACTTGATTGGCCTTGGGGAGTGCAATGTGTGGCCCTGCACAAGAATCAGCGTAATTTTGGTGATGAGAAGCTGCGTTTTCAGAATCTCCAGGATTTTCAATCATTTTCGAGTAAACAACAAAAAATGGCGGTGATCGGCTCTTGCCTACATAGGGCCAAGGCATATACCACTATGAGTGGTATGGAGGTGGCTTTCCTCTTCACCTTGAATTAAAAAAGAGGGGCTTCACTGATGAGTACTTTGACAATGCACTAATTAGCTTCTCGAACAAATTCGGGGGGCTCTGGAACGATTGGGTCTGTTGTTTGACTGGGTGGGAAGATCGGTTCAACTCGGTCCGGTCTCGGGTGGGCAGGAYAATTCGTGATCAGGCAAGGGGCACTCTTYGGCTAGCATAGTTCAGAGGTTTGTCTGGTTTCGAACAGTTAGGTTAGGGGCACTCCTTGGCTAGATTAGGGGCATTCTTTGGTTCGACCAGCTTAGGGCAGGCGTGTACTATTGAGGTTTGTGTAATGCTGTAGCCTGCGGTACTTGTTGCTTTGTATTTTTTTTTGTCTTTTTGTTTGGGTTTTTTACTTTTTGTTTCTAAAAAACTTTTTCCCGATCGAACAGTGGTCTTTTTAGGGACTGGACTGCCAGCATGTGGTCGTGTTGGGATTGGTTCGCTGGCTTGCTTCCTTCTTGGTTCTGTCGGAGGATGGTTCTTTTCTCTGGTCTTCTTTTGGGGCACATTCTGGAACCTTCTCGGCCTACTGTTCTTTTCTTTTCTTTTCTGAGAGGCCAAATATGGGCTGCATATCGACGGATGTATCAGGATGATACGTTGTCATAACTTTCTGTGACAGAAGTGTGAACTTGGCTTCGGTTTAGTCTACATTCTATAGGCCTCCTTTGTCGTCTTCTGATGCGTTGCTCGGCGTATCACTTCACGTCTGGTGGACTTTCTTCGCTTCTCTTGGTACTTAAACGGTCTCTCCTATCTATCCAGTCCCTTTTCCCTGCGGCTTATTTGAGACCCCTGACGAGTTCCGGCTGGCGGCCGGACGAAACGCAGCGTCGGGTCGCTGCGCCAGTTCCTACTTGTTTATCTTTCGATGTTTTTGGCGGTGTTTCATGATTAAATTCATGCACGGCCACAGGTCGCATTTCGGGATTTGGACTTTGTCTTCTTCCTCCTTCCTTTCTCCTCTCTTCTCTTTCCTCTTTACTCTTTCTCTTATTCTTCACTTGTATAACTTGGTGTACGTTTGCTGTTTGACCGTGCTGTTTGGCATTTGTCTAACTCGGTACCACTGAAGTAGTGGTATAAGTGTCGGGTACTGGAGGCCGAGCAGAAGAAGACAAAAGGTTGGCATTTTTAGAGGCCCAGTAGCGGTAGGTTAGAGGTAGGGCGGTACCAGTCCAAGTAGCCCGGGTCTAGGGCCTGTGCGGAGGATAGCAGAGCCTGCAATGATGTTTCCCTCTGAAAGGGAGGAGGTACCGGTTGCTGGGAGGCCGCTAGGCCTAGGAAGTCACCGCCCAGGAGGCCGGTAGGCCGCTATATCTTCAGGAAGAGCAAAGAGCTCTTCCTCATTTGCGGTGTGCAAGGATTGGCGACATGCTGCTGGAGCGCAGCGCTGGACCAGTGCAGCGCTGCTTGGAGGTGAAGGGCAGCTGGAGCTCAGCCTAGCTATGGCGAGCAGTCCAGCTTGAGGAGGAGGAAGAAGGGGTCATGGTAGGAGAGTGGCGGGGCACTTACCTGGCTATGGAAGACACCATCTTCATCACCTTGTTGGGCGCTGCATCTGGAAGGTCCCAGTTGGGGTAGTGCGGCACCAGGGAAGCTCGAGGCAGAGTCAGGCATAGCGGACCAAGTCAGCAGTGGCATAGCTGCTCTGAGTGGTCCTCTGGGCATCAGCGCAGCACCATAGCTGCTTGGGTTGTCCTTTGGACATCAGCGCAGCACCCTAGCTGCTTGGAGTAGTCCGCCATAGCCTATGCATGAGAGAGGAGGCTRAAGGAGGGAAGCCATAGCTATGGTGGACTGGTTGTTGTTGTTGTTGTTGTTGTTGTTGTTGTTGTTGTTGTTGTTGAGTTGAGTCAGCAGTAAGAGGGAACTTCGGATATTGATTCTGGTTCATCCATTCATTGTTATTATTATTATTGAGAGAAGAATAAGATTGGTGAAGTGAAGGAGGAGGAGGAAGGTGGAGAGAGAAGAGGGAATTGTTATTGGTCTTGCTGGTGCGTATCTTCTTCTTCTTCTTCTTCTTCTTCTTCTTCTTCTTCTTTCTCTCTCCTCTGGTCTTTATCTCTTTGCAAGTGCTTTCATTTCTTTCGCAATTGGGTGGCATTGTCTTTCATTGTGAATTTGCACTTGGGAAATGACCAGGATCGTAACAGGTGCATCATTACAGGCGATTTGTCGCTCGTAGGCTTTAACAACGCGCGGTGCGCTGCGCAGCAGTTCCTACTTGGAAATCCAGTATAGATCATCCAACGGGTGGTACATGAAATGAACCTGGTACTGTCTGTTGCGTCCGTTCCCTACGTGCTGTTTAATTCTGTCTATMTCATGTCCGCCTTTRATTGCAYGAGGAATCATGTCTTCACGGTAATCGAACGACTTAGCATCACGGTGGAGATACAGTTTTGATGCATGAAACACGGGATATGTGCGCAGATGAGGTGGCACAGCAACCACGTATGAAAGGCCAAATTTATCTTCGCCAATCACATCCAGAACTTCCCACGGACCATAATAGAGTGAGAGAAGTTTACGTGATACTCCCTCTTTTTCTGAAAACTCAGACATCTTGACCTAGACATAACTTCCCACCTCGATATTTGAAGGTCGGCGCTTCTTGTTTGCATGATGGATCATGGTGTGTTGCCGCTTGGTCATTGCTGCAATGGCAACTTTGAGCAAGCGATCGTACTTGGCCCTGAAGCCAGGCCTGCCGGGTGTTAAACCAGCTAGCTGCTCAGGGAATAGGTAGGAGAGCGGATTACAAATCTGCCAACCGTAATGCAGCCTGTTTGGTGTCATGCTGGTGGCAGAATGAATATAAACCCTTGATGGAATACAACTTTTCATCCGATGTTTCCTGATCCGGAATGATTAAAGCACAGAGAAGTTGGAACACAGTCTGGTTGATTTCTTCAGCCAAACCGTTGGCTTCGGGGTGTCGGCCAGATGTCATGCATAGGTTGAGGCCAGGGAGTTGGGACGTGAAGTCTTTCCATTCAGTACTGATGAAGCGCGGGTCCCGATCACTCAAAAGAGTTTTCGGGGCTCCGAACTGCAGAATGTACTTTTGTTTGAACTCACGGATCACAACTTTAGTTGGAGCATGAGATGACAAAGGAATCAGATTAAGAAATTTAGAGAAGCGGTCAACAATTACCATGACTTGTGAGTAGCCGTTCTTACTTACCTTTCCCATGTCAGTGAAGTCGATAGAGACAGACTCACCGGCACCTTCAGGGAATGGGAAGGGGTGTAAGTAGCCCCATTGGCTTTTGTCTACATGGTTTGATTCGTTGACAGACTTGACATTCAACCACAAATCTTTCAGCATATCCCTTCATGCCAGGCCAATCAAACTGTCTCAATAGGTTTCCGTATGTCTTTGCCATGCCGAAGTGTCCACTCTGGCCATGAGCCAAGTCCAGAAAGTGCGTGCGAAGAGGCTCATGGTTGGGTACACACAAATGGTTGTGGTTCTCATAGCGACGGAAAATCAGTCCTCCATACTCGTGAAAATCAGGCTGACTGTTGGGGTCTGCCCGCAGCTGCTCAAGGATGGGACTAAGGTCCGGATCCTTGGCAGTGTGCTCTTCGAGCTCCACCTTCAGTTTCTTCCAGAGGTCGTAGGAATTCACAAGGCCAGTCATGTACTCAGGGTGGCGAGACAACGCATCCGCAACTCGATTATAACAGCCATTTTTGTGCCTTAATTCAAAGTCAAAAATGTCAATTTCATGGAACCAGCGCTACGAATCCCCCCCAGCGGTGGCCAAGCGCGGCCAAGTCCACGGCCGCGGCTAGGTCCGCGACCACGCGGACGTGCGGCTTTGAGGCCACGTGGCGGCCAGTGGGGAGGGGGGTTGGGGATTCGGAAAGCGCCATGGGGCGGCGCAACCCCAGCCCCACCCCCTCGAACAAAAACATAAAAAAGAAACAAATTTTGGGTTGGGGGGGGTTGGCTGTGAGTGGCTGAGTGCAAATAATTGGAAAAAAAAAAACAATGCATTTTTTTTTCCCCCTTGATTGATTGATTGATTGATTGGTGGGGGCAGGGTCGCCCCACCCCGCCTTTGATTGATTGATTTATTCATTCATTCGGTTTTGCTTTTTTTTTGTTGTTGTTGATTGATTGATCGATTGATTGATTGATTGGTGGGGGCGGGGTCGCCCCCCCACCCCCAACAGGCCCACACACACACACACACATGAAGTATTGTATATTTCGATGTTCTAGCAGAATATTCATTCGATTTTGCTTCTTTTTTTTTTTCCGTTGATTGATTGATTGAGTGGTGGGGGAGGGGTCGCCCCCCCCCCGCCACCCACCACGCGCACGCGCGCACACACACACACACACACACACACAGATGCAGCATGCCGTACGCGGGCGAAGGCGCAGCGGCGGCAGCGCACAGTCACACACACACACACACACAATCAGTTTTATGTCTGCTAGCCTTTTTCCTGTTGTTTGTCTTTCCCTAATTTTTTGCAAGTATTTTTCTGTGTGCCCAACTGAGCACCCTTAAGTAGTGCCAAACAGTCGGTGGTTCCTCGTTTGGAGTGCCAACTGCACTCTTAGGGGGGCCGCTCGGTTCGGGATGTCTGTGTTGCCTATGGGTGATGACGGATGCTCATCGGAGTGTCTCCCTGGCTCAGTGGGTGGTGGGAACCAACAGTCTGCGGGGTTCACCCGTGATGTGAGTAAGTCATGTGCTGCTTTGCTCCGTGTTGGATGTGTGGACGACCCCGTCTGCGCTCCACCGCTGCCTTGCTGCCCGTTCCGCTTGCCTTGCAGGTCGTTCTTGGCATGCTGCTGTCTTCGCTGTGTGGTCTGGCCGGGTTGTGGTGTTGCCTTGCGCTTCGCTGCTTCGCTGCCTTGCCGCCCGTCCGCTGGTCGTGCCTTCCGYGTCCTTTGCTTGCGCGCCCTGTAGTTTGGTTGCCATGTTSGGGTTGCCTTGTGCTCCTCAGCRTGGTTGCTCTGCTGCTTGTCAGCTTGCCCTCTCTTCCCTTGCAGTGTGGTTGTCTTGGTGGTGTGGCCTGGTGCTTCACTGCTTGGGTGTCGTGCTGCGAGTTCGACGTGCCGTGTCGTTCCTTGCAGTCGTTTTTGGCGTTGTGCAGCCGTGTTGCCTCTACTGCGCTGCCTGGTGCTCCGCAGGGTTGCTGCCCGCTGCTATGTTCCGCTTGGGGACAGTCTGCCTTCAACAAGGGTTAAAGGGTTCATGACCCAAGCCATCATATACGAAGATTCCGCAGATTGTCGAGGGTTCAGCCTCCTGATGAGTCGGTGCAATTTCGACGAAACAATCTTGTCATCATCAGCTTATTTTTTTCGGTCTTCTGATTTACTTGGGACTTGTATTTTTTTCGGTTTGCTTGTCGTCATGTGCTTGTGTGCCTGTTTCGTGTTCTTACATGTTGTCTGCCTTCCCGCCTCCCCCGTGCCCTCCAGCCTATGCCTTGATGTCCTTTTTCTTGCTTTGCTCTGATGCTTTTCTCGTTTATCTGGTCTTGGCATCCCCTTGGGACTTGTTTGTTTTTTTTAGTTTGTCTGCTGGTGTGCTTGCACGTTGTCTGCCCTCCAGCCATTGTATCCTTAGTATCTATCTTGTGGACACTGGGCGTCCTTTGCTTGTAAGTGCACTTGACTGCGAGGCGTTGGAACGCATCTTAGGGAGGTCATGTTGAGTCTAGTCCCTGGGGAAAACCATGTCTTGGTGTGAAGCTGACAACTGGGGTTTACAATATACTTAAATACACACACACACTCACACACACACACACACACACACACACACAC